AAGAAAAATAAAATATTAGAATTAACAATAGAAAAAGACAAAATGTTATATTATATAATATTTTATTTGTAATATTAAACATAGATTTGAATTAATAGTAGTATTTCTTTTATAATTAATTTTTAATTTTATATGAAGGAAAATTTTTGTTAAAATTATATTTAGATTACATTTAAAATTATATTTTTCTTAAGAATATGATTTTATAAATTACGTAATAAAATTTATAAACTCAAGCTTACAGTTTATAAATTATAAATTTATTAAATATTATAAATTTATAGTTAATAAACTTGTATAATTATCTTTAATAGGGAAATTTATTATTTAATAAAAATTTTTTAATATTTATCCTTATTTTTGTATACTTTCATTTTTGCATGCAAAAGATTTTTCTAATTTATTTTGATTTTCTATTTATACAATAAAATTGTTAAATTAATAAAAAAGATTTGATTAATAGAAACTTTATCAATTTTTAAGAATATTCCAGATTTATAAATATTTATAAAATATTTTAAAATTAATAGACATCATTCAATATTTATATATTATTCGAAATATCTATAACATCACATGAAATTTTATTTCACATATCTGTGCAAAGAATTTAATCTCTTCTACATTTTAAACATATATAGAAATATGAAATTCCGATATAAGAAAAGTAACATATGTAATACATAAATAAAAATATTAAAAATTCTGTATAACACTGCTATGTATCGTAAATTCTTAAAATTTCTATTCAATAAATTTCGTTAAGAGTTACAAATTTGTTTCCTTTTATTTTTACCTCGTAGGATGGAAATTGAACGAAAAATTGAATGTGACTTACGTGAACTTCCTTTTTGCCAGAGCCCATCTCATCGGTGCTGATATGTCTGTAGCATAAACTTTTTCGAAGAGGTGAGCTACATGAGCAGTGGTGGCACCGTCGCCTGCCCCTAAATCTACCAACGAATGCCATGGCCCTAAAAAGCCGCTTGCCACCATCAATTTTTGAAATTGTTCGCAAGAAAAAACATGCATGGAACCACGGCCAAGTAATCTGAAAGAATTATTTTGTTACATGGAAAATTAAAATATTAATTTCAATATCGATGAAATATAATATTTAATATAATATTATCAAAATTTGGTAATATGATCTACTGATAATATAATAATAGGAAATACAACAAAATTGTGGAAGAAAATAATTTTTTTTAGATTATCTTAATTTTTCTGCAGAAAAACATGTATTTTTTTATTATATCTTATGAAAAAATTATTAATTAATATAAAGTATAATTATAAAAATTAAATTAGCATTCTTTGAACATAAAAAAATCAAAATTAGATAATAAATATAAATAGATATTGAAAATGAAAAAGTGCAATTAAAAATAAAAATTTTTCTATTTTCCATTTTATGGAAAATTATAAAATTTATCCATTTATTCGCCATATCGTTTAATGTTTAAATGTATGATTTTAAATGTATAAATCATAAGATAAAATTGTAAACGTCAAAATTTGATGATGTAAGGAGGTCGTCCGAAGTTTGATATGAATAAATCAACGCAACGATAACGCATATTTCAACATCTCATTGTAAGGATCGATATAACTTCCATGATCAATAAAAAGCAACTGCATATCAAAAGATTTGACGTGTTTGTGAACACAATCTGCAGAATTCGATGATATTCCGTATCGGAGGAAATCTTCTGGCAAGTCTTAATAGTAGATGGCGAGGGCTGACGAGGAAAGAGGGCGGGTTCACTTGAAAATATCAGCGCTGCCACAACACGATGTACGGGCCGTGGCGATCCATCAATGCCGCGGAACGCGGGATTTTGATCGTGAATTCGGTTACCCCCGGCGTTATAAATAAGGTGATGGTGGTCTTATGGACCCCTTCTTCGTGGGCCCACCTCGATTTTTCTCCCTCTCTACCTCTCTTGCGTTCTCTGCGCTTGAGCATAGCCGGTGCCATCAATTAACGAGCACCTCTCCTGGCCTCTATTGAATAATAAATAAAAATAAAAAAAGGGGATGAAGTAGGAGAAGAAGAAGGAAGAGAAGATGCAGGAGACAAAAAGAAGAAAAGAATAAAGGAACGGATGAAAAAAAAGATATGGAGACTCGATTACTGCATTTTTCGTAGCATCTTTCTGTTTTTTTTTACTTTGTTCTTTATTCCTTCCACGGATTCATTTACGGTTCTTTCTTTCTTTATATATATTTTTATTCATCTTTTTTCATTATTGTTTTTTGTTTCCTCGTTCCTTTATCTCTCTTACACTGACTCCGTTTATTTTGTAATATCTTTAGACTTGTTCCATTGTCAGTCTTAACCACCGTGATCGTGCATAACCTGTACACAGATCTCCTTGTTGCACGCCGAAGACGATCAACCGGTAAAGAATGAAAGAAATGGAAAGGGAAGAACGCGCACGAAAGAGAAAACGAAAGAGATAGGGGGAAGGGAGGAAAAGGAACGGGTAGATACACATACGATATACACGCGTGCAGCTCACAAATCAGGCTTGCGGATCGTAGCGGCTTCGTCGGCGGCGCGAGCGACAATTAATTCACCGCTTTTGCTCTCAGCTCTTCTTGGATCCCATTGTGTGTACGTAGTCTCCTCCCTTCTCCTCGCGTCACGATGTTTCTCCCAATGGAGAATCGTTTGGGACCTATCGGTGCTTCCAACATCGCCCTGTTTTATCGAGCGATCCCGATCCCTCTCTTCTCTTCGCCCTTTTTGTTTTTCACGACTTCGTCGTCGGGGGCCCCCTACCTTCGAAAGTTGCGTCTTTAATTTCGATCTTGGCGTCACGCGGTCTAGAGAAGTCCAATGCGTATTACACAGCGTTGCCAGGTTTAAAAAGCTGATCTTCTATCGAAGATTTTCATTTATTACGCCAATTTTAAATCGAATCATTATTTATTTTGATTATATAATTTTTATCGTTTAATTATATCATATTACAATATATTTTATTATTTTTTAATACCATATACTGACAAAATTCAAATTTTTCTTAATGAAATATATAATTATTCTTTTTTTATCAACTTTTAAAATTTCTATATTACTTTTGATATTTATATATATTCATAATCTGTATTGTGAATATGACTTATGTTACAATTTTTGTATAATTTAATATAATAGCTTAATTATTTGTTTGTATTCTCAATGCAAATAATTTCAATTTCAATTAATTTAAATATCAATTACGCATAGCATTGTATATAACAAATTTCAGTAATACAATACTAAAGTTTAAACATTGTATCTACATTAATAATTACATATCGAGTTTAAAATCTCATCAACATTAAAATAGCTGACTGTAATAAGTTTTTAAATAGCAACGGTTAGTCTACGACTGATATCTATATGGAAAGGGACAGTAGCGCGTATAAAGATGATAGGGATCTTTTTCCAGCGGTTCTGAACGATTATTTACAATTCTAGCCACCCACTCGGCCCGATGGTGGTTCAATTTTTTTGGCCGACAGACAGCGCTGGTTCAGTTCACTATGGCCTCGGCTTTTATCGGTGGGGACCTCTCGCGGTTGCTCGTAAAATACCTCGAAGGGCGAGCGCGTAGTGTTAAAGAGGCGCTCGAAGGACCGTTTACCTAATAATAGCAATAATATGTAAATGCGATGCGTATCAAGCCGCCATCTAAAGAATCCACCCCGCTACGGGCCTATTGTTTGCAAATCCCTCGTTTCAGCCGTGCTGCTCTCTGCTGGATTGCCATGGAGCTCTCGATATACGTATTTCTTTCTCTTTTACCACAATCGTTTTACTCATGATCTATCTTCCTTCGTCTTTCCGATACCGGGCGCGCAAATAATCGAAGGTACGCTAACATTACGAAGAAACACACCTAACGACAATCGATGCGAGATGCGTCTGGTCGTATCTCTGTTTTCATGTACGATTTTAATGTTTGCGTTTGTATTTAGAAATCAATGGAAAACATATCTAAGTTAAAATATTATAAATTTAGAGAAAATCAAACTTTAAGAGAAAAATAAGAATTTTTGTAATAAATTGTAATTGAAGTAGAAACTGGAAATGATAATTACAAAATTTTAGGTCTAAATTGATGACCATTATAATTTGAGATTTAAAACAATTTCGATAACGTTTAAAATATTAAGCATGTATTCTTAAAATCTTTGTTCATAATGTACATGTATATTCGAATTTTTAAACGAAAATTATATTTTCATAACAAGATTAAAATAAACTATTTCTTGAAATATTTATTTCTTAACATATAATATAATCAGTAACAATAATAATACATAGAATGTATGCAAAGATTTTTGTGGTTGACTATATGTATTCAGTCTTCAAGACGTTAATACAGTTCTATAAGGACATAACAAACGTGTATTTATGGATGCAAAGTTCGAATCAGCGTAAACTGCTTTAAGAGGTACATCGACGTACAATTATAATTTGATTGAATCTTGTCACGCTCGAGATTCCTCAAGTTCTGAACGCTATTATAATATTCACATCGTTACATTCGAAATCGGTGTAACATTGTAATATAACGTGAAACTTTTCGAAGTACACCTTGAATGGATTAATGAACCGAGTGACATGGGATCTGATTGGGGCAACATTCAAATCTGTCTAGTCATCCTTACCTTCGTTTGTCGTTCTGAACGAGCATAACGCGTTATCCTGACCTTTCTTCTTTTTCTCTTTATTCTTCCTCCTTGTGTCATCTTTCTTCCCCTTTCTTGCTCATTTTTCTTACATTGTTGCTCTAGATTGCCTTTCAACCACATCGTAAAAATCATCTCTCATTGTGCAACTTAATTAGTTATATATCTATACGTAGTTGTGCTCTTTTTTATTTTTCTCTTTTTTAATTTTCTAAATTTTGTTTTATGAATAATTTCATTGATTTTAATTTGTTGAACGTTTGATTGATTGAACGATTCTTTTCTATGAAAAAATATCATATATAAGCAATTTATTATTATTGTTCAAAATTTGGGATTTTAGTATTCGCGGTTAAATATACAAAAGATAAAGATAAGGTAAAATATATAATGATGAAAATAAAAAATAATTTATATTTTAAAAGTTTTTTCAAAGTTTCTTTTATTATATAGGTATAACATATGTGTATTCATATTACATATATATTATATGTGTTCAATTTTATGATATATTAATTGTACATGAAAATAAATATTTAGATAAACAAGTATTTAATATTAATTATTTTTTACAAGAAATTATTTTAAAAGAAGAATTTTGTTCTACTGGAAAAGGAATTTTCGTTAAAAAACAGATCAATATCATTCTTAAAATATCTATTCGCATAGTTTTATTAATTACAATTTAATTATAACTTAATTAAAAACGGATCATTTTAACTTATATTTAAAACTTCATTTAATTCAATAATCAATTCTAAAATTATTTTATTATCATGATATATAATATATATCAATCAGTGTCTGGAAGTGTGAAAAATATATTTTGAATTGCTGAGAAGCAAAAAAATCATGATTACGATTTGATAAATCTATCGTAAAACTATCCATCTTTTGCCAACTTTTCTTTCAAAAAGTTTTTCGAATGTTTACAAATTCAAATCGTTCAAATGAAACTTTTAATTACGATCTCTCAGTATATATTTATTGACAATTCGCTATAAACATTAATAATGGAACGGTTATATAAATTGTATTTTCTGTTATGAAGCGTTATTAATATCATCGATATATGTATATCAAACGGTTTTGGAAATATCAAAAGTATTATCGATATTTTAAGATATAAGTATTTTTTTATGAATTGTTCGATTATAAACTATCTTTTGTCAAACTATTTTATTCACTTTTAAATTATAAAAGATAGAAATTAAGTAGTTTGTTATAGAAATAAATATTTTTGTTATTTAGTTTATAATAATTTTTTGCTATTATAAAAAAATTGAAATTTAATACATTAATTATATTTATTATTATTACTTTTTAATAAAAATATTAAAAGTCAAACATTTAAAATCTTAAAACTCGATATTAAATATAATATAAATTT